TCTTCTTCTTCTTCTTCTTCTTCTTCTTCTTCTTCTTCTTCTTCTTCTTCTTCTTCTTCTTCTTCTTCTTCTTTCCTGAATCAGACCCTTGGTCAGTCTTGTCTGCACAGACTGGCAGCGGCTCTCTGGTGTCTCGGGCACAGGTCTTTCTCGTCACCTACTGGCCTGGTCCTTTTTCAGTGGAGATACCGGGGTCTGGACCCGGGATCTTCTGCATGCCAAGCAGATGCTCGCAGCAGTCTACGTTTGCCTGTGCATGAGCGTGTGCGAATCTGACACATTGAGGGAGGGGGACTATGAAGTCTCCAGGGTGTGAGGGGTATGACATGGAGGGTCTTAAAGTAGAAGTCTTATGAAGCTGGGCTGAAGTCTTCTCTGGTCAGCCACGGTGGCAGCCAGAACGGAAAGACTAGCCTGAGGTTGTTAGATCTTGGAAGCTAAGCGAGGTCGGCCTTGGTTAGCTTGGATGTGAGGTCACCTCGGAGACCAGGGTTGCAACGCAAAGGGTTGGACTAGATAAAGACTACCTCTGCTTCTCTCTTGTCCTGTCAACCCCATGAGGGATGGCTTGAGTGCCTTGATATTTAATGACACCTTGTTCTCCCAAACTGGGAGCCGGCGTGGAGTAGTGGTTAAAAGCGGAGGACTCTAGTCTGGAGAACTGGGTTTGATTCCCCACTCCTCCACATGAAGCCTGCTGGGTGACCTTGGGCCAGTCACAGCTCTCTCTGAGAACTCTCTCAGCCCCACCCACCTTCCAGGGTGTCTGCTGTGGGGAGAACAAAGTTTGAGCTCAGTGGCTCATGCAAGACCAACAGAGTTTTTATTGAAAGTATAAGCTTTTGTGTGCAATGACACTTCTTCAGAAACAACGGAATAGAATCTCCTCAGGCCCTACTTACAGGAAAAGAGAGGGTGGAGGAAGGAAAGGCAATTGTAAGCCACTTTGAGACCCCTTGTAGAAGAGAAAAGTGGGGTATTAAAACCAACTCCTCCTCCTCCTCTTCTACTACTACTACTACTACTACTACTACTACTACTACTTCTTCTTCTTCTTCTTCTTCTTCTTCTTCCTCTTCTTCTTCCTCCTCTTCTTCTTCCTCTTCTTCTTCTTCTTCTACTTCTTCTTCTTCCTCTTCTTCTTCCTCCTCCTCCTCCTCCTCTTCCTCTTCTTCTTCTTCTTCTTGATGGAATGCACTACCTTACCTAATGTTAGCACTGCCAGTGAATGTATTTTCTCCACAGACGTTTTTGGTGTTGAACAAAGGGAAGACCATCTTCCGGTTTACAGCCACACGTGCTTTGTACATCTTCAGCCCTTTTCATTCGCTCAGACGGAAGGTGATCAAACTTCTGGTACATCCATATCCTTTGCCTTGAGAACTTCTGAAGGGTTCTGCAGCTCACCCTAGGCCTTGTCCTAATTCAGCATCCTGTCTCCATCAGTAGCCGGCCAAATACTTATGAGCATGAAGGTGATGGACCGCCACTGGTGTTGGTCCATAGCCCCTGTCCTTCAGAGGCCTGCTGCTTTTCAACATGGAGGCTCCATTTTGTTCTCATGACTAACAGTTGTTGATCGGAACAAAGTTCGAGTCCAGGGGCACCTTTAAGACTAACAGAGTTTTATTCAAGGGATAAGTGGTTATGTGCCTGCACACTTCTTCAGATACAATGAAATGGAAATGACCAGTCCATACATAGAGGTAGAGGGTGAGCAGTAAATTAGGGTACAGCATAATTGAACATGTTTAACAGATTCAAGGACCAAACAGGAATAACAAGCTTAGTTTATATGGTTACCATTTGATTAGGGTTTACTTCCAGAGGGAAAACATAGTGAAGGAAATAAATGTCAAAATTGGAGATTGGTGGGCAGATGTATCCTTACTTGTGGAACGCTGAGAGTAATTAACTGAGACCGCTCCACCGGTCTCCTCTCAAGCATGGAAGTGACCTTACAGCAACTTCTTCTTGGAAGTGGGGTGGCTGGCAGTGTAGAGTTACCTCCCCTGTCCCCAGACTGGAGAGGTATGTTCCAGTCTAACATACCAAATTACGTTATTGTTGCTGATCAACCTATTCCAAGGAAAGTTCCTCTTTAAAGACACCTAAGCTAGTTAGAGGAGCTGCGGTGGCTCAAGTGGTTAAGACGCTGAACTGCAGGCTGTGGAAGGTCGGTAGTTCAGCAGTTCGAGACCCGAGTGTGCCGCATGACGGAGTGAGCTCCCGTCTCTCGTTCCAGCTCCTGCCAACCTAGCAGTTCGAAAGCAAGAAATTGCATAGTAGATAAATAGGTACCACTTCGGTGGGAAGGTAACACCATTTGTGTTTAGTCATGCCGGCCACATGACCACGGAAACGTCTTCGGACAGCGCTGGCTCTTCGGCTTTAAAACGGAGATGAGCACCGCAACCCTAGAGTCGGATTCGACTGGCTTTCGAGCAAGGGAACCTTTACCTTTACCTTTAAGCTAGTTAGACATTGTAAGAGGTACCGCTTTCATGTGTCCTGAATCTACTGCCAGTCAATTTCACTGGATGATACCGAGTTTGAGGGGCATCATGGAGTTATTTTAAAATTTCCAAAGCTTTTCAAACTAGTACACCAGCATGACAATACTGAGCCAATCAAAATTTTGAGAAAGGTCCTTTTAGAAGCGGCCTCTATTCTGTATTACTGTTCGTAATGAATTAGCAGGCCACCTTCTCACCAAGAGACATTGAAATACCAAACTCCAGTAGAAGCTAAGCCTTCAACAAGGTAACAAAGTGCCACATTTGTGTCCTTTCGAGCCAGTGTGGTGTAGCAGATAGAGCGTGAGTCTAGGATCTGGAAACCCCGGGTTCGAATCCCCTGTCTGCCATGGAAGCTTGCTGGGTAGCCTTGGGCCAGTCGCATGCTCTCAGCCTACTTCACAAGATTATTGTGAGGGTAAAAGGGAGGAGAGGAGAAGAACATAACCAGCGCTGGGTCCTCGTGGGAGGAAAAGGTGGGGTACGAATCATAACGTTATCAGGTCCTCTCTGGCAATTAGCAGGGGGCGGGGGGCAATGTTCCCTCTAAGTTGTGGAGTCTTGTGAGCAAAAATTCTACTCTGTGAGCTACTGGCATTAAAATTATGAGCGAGTGATTTGGCTACTGCATAAGTTAGTTTGCTCTGGAGCCATCCTTCCTGAGCTAAGATAAAAATGTGTGAGCCGGAGGCTAAAAAACCGTGAGCTAGCTCACACTAACTCAGCTTAGAGGGAACACTGGCGGGGGGGACTTATTGGGTGGCAGGGGCCCTTGGTGGTGATGCACGAACATCGCTGAAGAAACACTGATGTCACTTTCTTTGTGCACTGGAAGTTACACGTCACCAGCAAAGCCAGCGATGCTCTGGCATTTGGGCATAGGTAAAGGTGAAAGGCTGAGCGCCGAAGAATAGGTACGTTAGAACTACGGTGCTGGAGGAGACTCTTGAGAGTTCCTTGGACGGCAAGACGATCAAATCAGTCAATCCTAAAAGAAATCAGCCCTGACTGTTCCCTGGAAGGCCAGATAATGAAACTGAAGCTCAAATACTTTGGCCACCAAATGAGAAGGAAGCACTCACTGGAGAAGACCCTGATGCTGGGAAAGATTGAAGGTGAAAGAAGATGGGGATGGCAAAGGATGAGATGGTTAGACAATGTCATAGATGCAACGAACATGAAATTGAGCCAACTTCAGAGGACAGCGGGAGACAGGAGGGCCTGGCGTGATCTGGTCCATGGGGTCGCGAAGAGTCGGACTCGACTGTGCGACTGAACAACAAAGGTAAAAGGTAAAGGTTTCCCTTGCACAAAAGCCAGTCAAATCTGACTCTAGGGTTGCGGTGCTCATCTCCGTTTCAAAGCCAAAGAGCCAGCGCTGTCCGAAGGCATTTCCATGGTCATGTGGCCGGCATGACTAGATGCCAAGGCGCATGGGACGCTGTTACCTTCCCACTGAAGTGGAACCTATTTATCTACTTGCAATTTCTTGCTTTCGAACTGCTAGGTTGGCATGAGCTGGGGCCAGAGACGGGTGCTCACTCCATCATGTGGCACTCGGGTCTCAAACTGCTGAACTACCGACCTTCCGGCCTGCAATTCAGCGTCTTAACCACTGAGTTTTGCCCAAATACCGGCATGTCCCCAGCATTCCCCGGTAATACATTAACGTTACTTCCAGGTGGACAGAGAGTGACATCAGCACATCAGGATGCTACATTTGGGCACAATTTCCCCCTCCACTGGCCACCTAAGCAGGGAATCCTCTGCCCCCAGCGGGAGTCTGGGAACCTTAATAAATGAAGTCCGTGAATAGATTTCTTTGAGGGGTTGACTCTATGGCACTATATCCCCCCCCCCGAGGTCCCTTCCCTTCCCTCCTCAAACCCTGCTCTCCCATGGCTCCACCAAATCTACAAGTATTTCCCAATCCACAGTTGGCAACCCGACCGATAGCTGAGCCGCCAGGGAGCGATGCAGGAAGTTGACCCACATGAATATTTGTGTGGATAACATTTGCCAGTTTGGTGTAGTGGTCAAGTGCGTGGACTCTAATCTGGGAGAACCGGGTTTGATTCCCCACTCCTCCACTTGCACCTGACTGGATGACCTTGGGCAAGCCCTAGTTCTGATAAGAGCTGTTCTTGAAAAAAGAGCAGTTTCTGTCAAGAGCTCTCTCAGCCCCACCTACCTCACAGGGTGTCTGTTGTGGGGAGGGGAAGGGAAAGGAGTTTGTAAGCCGCTCTGAGACTCCTTTGGGTTGTGAAGGGCGGGGTATAAATCAAATCTCCTCCTCCTCTTCTTCTTCTTCCATCAAATCAAAACGAGAAGAACCGGAGAAGGCCAACGCCCCAGCAAGTCTCAGTAAAGTTTCCACAAAACATTGCTTTCCTTAACTCTCGTGACCTACATTGTTTACCTGGTTCATCATGATCACCATTTTCACGAACTGTGTCTTCATGGCTCTCTCGGAAACGCCAGAATCAACCGAAGAAACCAGGTGGTCTAAAAATGTGGAGTGAGTATCTCTGTGGGTCGTGTCTTTCGTTCCTTCTCTTCTTCGGCTCTTCTAATACATTAATATATAATATATATTATAGCTTTGGGAAAAGTGCAGAAAAGGGCAACTCGAATGATAAAAGGGTTGGAACACTTTCCCTATGAGGAAAGGTTAAGGCGCTTAGGGCTCTTTAGCTTGGAGAAAAGACGACCAAGGGGTGACATGATTGAGGTTTATCAGATTATGCATGGGAAAGAGCAGGTAGAGATAGAGGTACTTTTCTCCCTTTCTCACAATGCAAGAACTCGTGGGCACTCCATGAAATTGCTGAGCGGTCGGGTTAGAACGGATAAAAGGAAGTACTTCTTCACCCAAAGAGTGATTAACACTTGGAATTCACTGCCACAGGAAGTGGTGGTGGCTACAAGCATGGACAGCTTCAAAAGGGAATTAGATAAGCATATGGAGCAGAGGTCCATCAGTGGCTGTTAGCCACAAGGTATAGTTGGGGCTCTGGGGCAAGGGATGCTCTGTCTTCTTGGTGCTTGGGGGGGGGTCAACAGTGGGAGGGCTTCTAATGTCCTGGCCCCACTGGTGGACCTCCTGATGGCACCTGGTATTTCTGGCCACTGTGTGACACAGAGTGTTGGACTGGATGGGCCTTTGGCCTGATCCAACATTGGCGTCTCTTATGTTCTTAAGAGATACGGCATATGATCCTGATGTATCGGATCGAGCGTGGGTCAGCTTCCTGCCAAGCCCGTGTTCTGCTCCCGAGTCACTCTCAACCCCACCCCTTTACCAGGGTACACACAGTTTTGTGACAAATCCTAAAGACAACTGCCTTCTGTTGTTGGGTAAATAAGGCACGGAGGCTAGGGCTGCGATCATATGCACAATTAGACCTGACATAGGCACGAATGCCGGGATTTAAAGGGTGCAATCAGACGACAACATCTGGGAAGCGCCCTGCAGCTGCTGGCAACCTGTTCTGCTCCATTGCAGAAGCGGAGTTAAAAGGCACTGGGAGAAATTTGGTAGTAAACAGGTTGCAATGGGCCATGGACGGACTTTCCCCTGTTTGGTGTAGTGGTTAAGTGTACGGACTCTAATCTGGGAGAACCGGGTTTGATTCCCCACTCCTCCACTTGCACCTGGCTGGATGACCTTGGGCAAGCTGTAGTTCTGATAAGAGCTGTCCTTGAAAAAGAGCAGTTTGTGTCAGAGCTCTCTCAACCCCATCCACCTCCCAGGGTGTCTGTTGTGGGGAGGGGAAGGGAAAGGAGTCTGTCAGCCGCTCTGAGACACCTTTGGGTAGTGAAGGGCGGGGTATGAATCCAATCTCCTCCTCTTCTTCTTCTTCTCTGTCTGATCACTCCAGCGCGCTCTCATGCCATTGGGATGCTCTGATCAGGCCATCCTGACTCCGTGCCGTTGTTTCCCTCCCCTTTGCAGTAGGCGCATCATCGCATACTCCACAGGGAGCCCTCAGTGCGGAGGTGCAGTTCATTGATTCCTCGTTTAAGCACATAAGCTGGGGTCATTTCGTAGAAAAAGAGGTGCAGGATCTCATTAGCATAACTCATTAGCATAACTCATTTGCATATGCCACACACCCTGACATCACCGGAAGTGTGTCAGAAGGCAACACCCACCACTCAGGCTCCACTGGACTGTTTTGGATTGCTAGCTCTTGGGGGGGGGGAATGTGCAGATCTGTCCTCACAGAGGAGGGAGAGCTTGTCCCTGAATAAAACTTGGTCTTAAAGGTACCACTGGATTGTTTTGGATTGCTAGCTCTTGGGGGGGGGGGAATGCACAGATCTGCCCTCACAGAGGAGGGAGAGCTTGTACCTGAAGGTGGGCTGGGGAGGGGCTCTGCAACTTACCTGGCTGCTTCTTGCTCTGACTGAGGGCTGCTGGGAGCAGGAGGCGGGGCTTGTTGCATGTGCCCGCCTGCTGGGATCCTTACTGCCGGAGCTCCGCTCCTGTAGGCTCCCGCAGGAAATGACCCCTGCTAAGAAACAAACGGCAACCCCCCCCCACAACTTACCTGCAGTTGTGTCTGATCACACACTACATATTCATACAGCAAAATAGGCTAATACATACCATAAGTCTCTAAGAGGAAAAAGGGGAAAGCCTAGGGGTGAGGTTGCTGAGCGAGTAACCTCTCAAGAACCTTAATTTTATTTATTTATTTATTTATTTATTAGATTTATACCTCGCCCTCCCCAACGGGCTCAGAAAGAAGCCCAAGCTCATTGGCCAACCCACACACTGGTAAATTAAAAACCACCCAATCAGTTTCTCAAACACACCCAATAACATACAGGATTGGCTCTGAGCCCCGTTGCCCTTCCAGGTCAGGTCTCTGGTAGAATCGTAACAAATATGTTAACCCTATAATGACTGAAATACAGATCTTGCCATATCCCAACCAGTGTTCCCTCTAAGCTGAGTTAGTGTGAGCCAGCTCACAGTTTTTTAGCCTCCGGCTCACACATTTTTGTCTTAGCTCAGGAAGGATGGCCCCAGAGCAAACTAATTTACATAAGAACATAAGAACATAAGAGATGCCAATGTTGGATCAGGCCAAGGCCCATCCAGTCCAACACTCTGTGTCACACAGTGGCCAGAAATACCAGTGCCATCAGGAGGTCCACCAGTGGGGCCAGGACATTAGAAGCCCTCCCACTGTTGACCCCCCCCCAAGCACCAAGAAGACAGAGCATCCCTTGCCCCAGAGCCCCTATCTATACCTTGTGGCTAATAGCCACTGATGGACCTCTGCTCCATATGCTCATCTAATTCCCTTTTGAAGCCATCCATGCTTGTAGCCGCCACCACTTCCTGTGGCAGTGAAGTAGCCAAATCGCTCGCTCACCACTTTAATGCCAGTAACTCACAAAGTACAATTTTTTGCTCACAAGACCCCACAGCTTAGAGGGAACATCGAATTCCCAACATCTATTTGGGTCAATGCTTCTCTGTATTGCTGTTTGCTAGGATAGCTGTTTAGATCGACTCAAGACCGAACTCTCCCTAGAAGCTGAAATGACTAAAGTGTTGTGCTAAGCGTGTGTGACTATCCAAGCCAGACCCTTAGGGCTTCCCAGCCTTACCAGCTTTCACTGCAGTTCTTGCTGTGAAGCCCCTTATAGTAACCACAATAACGCAGTCCAGTGGTACACTATGTACAAGGGTTTATTCACAATATTCACAAAGTGCTTCGCCAGGCATACATCACAGAGAGAAGAAGATACATGGCAACTGTGCAATGACTTATATACAAAGTTCCGCCAATCAGAGTCATGCTGAGTCACTGTGACCGCACACTGTCCAGTGCCAGTCTAAACCGGTTGGAACTTGCTCTCTCCAAACACCTGCTGACAGGTAGCTGTCAGCTTAGATCACAATGATCTGTCTCCTGGAGATTAACATACAACATAAAGTGAGGCTGTCGTACTTTGTTCACACTATGAGAAGACCAGAGTCCCTGGGAGAGACAATCATGCGAGGGGAAGCGGAAGGCAGCCGGAAAAGAGGAAGACTCAACGTGAGAGGGATGGACTCCATCCAGGAAGCCACAAAGGCCCTCAGTTTGCAAGACCAGAGCAAGGCTGTTAGGGATGAGACGTTTTGGAGGTCATTCATTCATAGGGTCACTGTAAATCGGAAGTCACTTGACGGCCCTTCACACTCACGCACACAGGACAGCCACCTGATTATGGGCTATTCCGCATCTAGCATTCGCTCCACGTTTTCTCAACCCGGAGGAAAAGGTGCCGCTCAAAACCACATTCAAATGCCCCGGGGCCAGGGCTTTTTTTGTAGAAAAAGCCCAGCAGAAACTCATTAGTGTAATAGGCCACACCCAACAGCAGAAACTCATTAGCATATTGGGCCACACCCCTGACAATGGAGCTCATTAGCAAAAAGGCCACATCCCCATGCCTTCCCTTGGCTTGCCTGGGTGCCCCGCGGCTGTGGGGAGTCCAGGCAAGCCGGCCCTTGGACAGGCCGGGGAAGGGATGGGGAGGCATTTAAATGGCTACCTGATCATTCCAGGCCCCCCCCCCTGGCCTCCGCACCTCGGAGTCATCGGGAACGGCCATGAATCTATGCAGAAGGTACCATAAAACCCGATGATCAAAGAAAGCAAAAACGGCATGGAGAGTGGAGGGTACCATAAAACCCAAAGGTCAAAGCAAGTGAAAGCGGCATGCAGTGCAGAGGACACCATAACATCTGATTATCAAGGAAAGTGAAAGCAGCATGCAATGCAGAGGGGAATTTCTGTTCCAACGTGGGTTTGGTCAAACGACGGCGGGAGAAGCCAGCGCAGAATCACCCTGTAGGATTTTTAGTTCATCAGTTTTTGTAGGAGTCCTCATCATAAAATGGGTTGGACAGAACTTAATGCCTTGACTTCGGCACAGTGAAAAAGGAAGGTTTATCAGGCAGTGTTACCGAGTGGCTGAGCAACTAGTTGATTTAAAACCTCTGAGAAAAAATACATTTCCAAATGCACCAGGAATCTTTATACAACCCCCCCTTCCCCGGAGAAGCCAGTTTGGTGCAGTGGTTAAGTGCGCGGACTCTAATCTGGGTGAACCGGGTTTGATTCCCCACTCCTCCACTTGCACCTGCTGATGTGACCTTGGGTCAGTCACAAGCTCTGGCACAGCTGTCCTTGAAAAAGAGCAGTTTGTGTCAGAGTTCTCTCAGCCCCACCCACCTCACAGGGTGTCTGTTGTGGGGAGCTGTTCCAACGTGGGTTTGGTCAAACGGTGGGAGAAGCCAGCGCAGAATCCCCCTGTAGGACTTTTAGTTCATCAGTTATATAGGAGTCCTCGTCATAAAATGGGTTGGACAGAACTTAATGCCTTGACTTCGGCACAGTGAAAAAGGAAGGTTTATCAGGCAGTGTTACCGAGTGGCTGAGCAACTAGTTGATTTAAAACCTCTGAGAAAAAATACATTTCCAAATGCACCAGGAATCTTTATACAACCCCCCCTTCCCCGGAGAAGCCAGTTTGGTGCAGTGGTTAAGTGCGCGGACTCTAATCTGGGTGAACCGGGTTTGATTCCCCACTCCTCCACTTGCACCTGCTGATGTGACCTTGGGTCAGTCACAAGCTCTGGCACAGCTGTCCTTGAAAAAGAGCAGTTTCTGTCAAGAGTTCTCTCAGCCCCACCCACCTCACAGGGTGTCTGTTGTGGGGAGGGGAAGGGAAAGGAGTTTGTAAGCCGCTCTGAGACTCTAAGTGAAGGGCGGGGTATAAATCCAATCTCTTCTTCTTCTTCCTCTTCTTACAATTTTTTAATCTCACTTTTTTTGTCATCTTCTGGGCATGGAACAGGGGTCACTGGCAATGTTCCCTCTAAGCTGTGGAGTCTTGTGAGCAAAAATTCTACTTTATGAGCTACTGGCATTAAAGTTGTGAGCAAGTGATTTGGCTACTGCATAAATTAGTTTGCTCTGGAGCCATTCCTTCCTGAGCGGAGACAAAAATGTGTGAGCCGGAGGCTAAAAAACTGTGAGCTAGCTCACACTAACTCAGCTTAGAGGGAACAGGGGTCACTGGGGGCATGTGGGGGGAGGTATTTCTGAATTCCCTGCATTGTGCAGGGGGTTGGACTAGATGACCCTGGAGGTCCCTTCCAACTCTATGAGTCTATCATTACCCTGTGGCAGAACAGAACCGATTCCCAACCACTTGCAAAACCATTTCCCATTGTTTTATGAGCTGTAGAGTCATTGGCCGCTGTTTAAATTAAGGTTGCCAACCTCCAGGCGGGGCCTGGAAATCTCCTGGAATTACCACTGATCCCCAGACTACAGAGATCAGTTCCCCTGGAGAAAATGGTGGCTTCGGAGGGTGGACGCTGTGGCATTATGCCTCATGGAGGACCTCCCCCTCCCCAAACCCTACCTCTAAATCTCCAGGACTTCTCCTGCCAAGAGTTGGCGTTGGCAGCTGTGGAATGGAAAGTGAACTGGCTCAGTGAGTTGGTGTTCCCTCGACTGCTGTGTTAACTCGGTCTCTGTGCCTGCTCTTACTCCCCAGGTACACTTTCACGGGCATTTACACTTTCGAATCGATCATCAAAATATTGGCAAGAGGCTTCTGCCTGAATGAGTTTACCTTCCTCCGCGACCCGTGGAACTGGCTGGATTTCACCGTTATCGTGATGGCGTGAGTGAGAGTGCTTTTAGAAAACCTGCCAGCAGGCCAGGGAGTCACATGGATCCCGCTGCCTCTGGGAAGGTTGACTGCGGTGGCTGAAAAGAGTATTTCAGAACGATCAGTTTTATGCCTTTAATATCATGTAATGTGAATTATTATGTATATGCAGGGCTATTTGGGGGCAGGAACGCACAGGAACGGAGTTCCGGCTGGCTCCCAAGTTGGCCACACCCAGCAGGAACTCATTAGCATAATAGGCCACACCCAACAGCAGAAACTCATTCGGATTGGCTACAATTAGGGGTGTGTGGCCTAACATGCAAAAAGCCCTGGGTTTTGACAACAAACAAGGTAAAGAGAATAAGAAGCAAACGGTGGGTGTGGCTGGATGACCACACTTCTGGCAACACGGGGGTGTGGCCTAATATGCAAAATGAGCTGTGCTGTCAGGGGTGTGGCCAAATATACTAATGGGTTCCTGCTGTTGGGTATGGCCTTTTATGCTAATGAGTTCCTGATGGGCCTTTTCTACAAAAAAAGCCCTGTGTATATGCAGTTCTCCTACCAGGGTGGTCTGTGTGCCAATACTACCTGAGGGTTGTAATTCGGGTTGCCAGCCTCCTGATGGGGCCTCATAAGCTTGCCAGCCTCCAGGTGGGGCCTGGAGATCTGGGACTGCAACTCATCTCCCGGCTACAGAGATCAGTTCCCCTGGAGAAAGTGGCAACTTTGGAAGGTGGACTCTATGTAGGGTTGCCAGCTCTGGGTTGGGAAATACCTGGAGATTTTGGGGGTGGAGCCTGAGGAGGGGGGGGTCTGGGGAGGGGAGGGACTTCATGGAGTATCATACCACAGAGTCCACCTTCCAGAGTAGCCGTTTTCTCCAGGGGAACAGATCCCTGTTGCCTGGATTGGTTGCAATCCCAGGAGACCTCCAGCCACCCCCTGAAGGTTTTGTAGAAACAACAGACGGATCACGGGAAGGATGCAAATAATAACAAAACAACTGTGAGATTATATTATGAAAATATATTTAGACTATTACGTAGTGAATCGTATTTCTTCATCACTTTATAAAAATATACGCATCCACACAACGGGAATTGCATATAATACCGTTTCACGTAACCGCTTCTTCTAAGTATGCTGCGTGAATACCATTAGTTAACTAACCATTAGTTAACTAACCATTACTAAACTAATGGCATTCACACGGCACACTTAGAAAAAGCTGTTATGTGAAACGGTATTATATGCAGTTCCCGTTGTGTGTATAAAGTGATGTATAAAGTGATGAAGAAATATGAAGAAGTATAAAGTGACGAAGAAATAAAGTGATGAAGAAATATGATTCATTACCCCCTGGAGGTTGGCAGCTCTAACTTGATGGCATGATATACCCCACTGGGGTTCCTCCCTTCCCCAAATCCTGCCCATCCTGCGATCCACCTTGGGTTGCCAACTTTCCGGTATGTTTACAGGCACTTAAAAATGGCAAGATTACAAAGATTTTGAGATCTTCCGGTTTTGAATATGTATTGTATTAGGTTTTTAGTACTTATTGTATTTTTGTTCGTCTGGTTTTTTTTAGTGACTTCCTGTTCTTTTTTACTTGATATTTTATAACATGTAAATGTAGAATTGTGGTCATAATTTTTTTTTAAAGTAGGGTTCGCCAGGTCTCAATAATGCGCTGGTGGTGGGTGGGAGGGAGCCTTCTGAGGGTGAGGTGGGGCTCCACCAATGTTCCCTCTAAGCTGTGGAGTCCCATGAGCCAAAATTCTACTTTGGGAGTTGCTGGCATTAAAGTTGTGAGCAGGTGATTTGGCTGCTGCATCAATTAGTTGGCTCTGGAGCCAGCCTGCCTGAGCTAAGACAAAAATGCATGAGCCAGAGGCAAAAAAACTGTGAGCTAGCTCACACTAACTCAGCTTAGAGGGAACACTGGGCTCCACCCCAAACAGCAGAAGTGACATCATCATGTCGGGGACATTGCACAGCGACACTCTGGTTTGAAGGCACAACTCTATGGTAAAATCGCACTCAAACCATACAGCTTTGCCCCAAAACTAGAGCATTGCTGCACAACGTCCTCAGCGATGACACTTCCGCATGACATCATCACGTTGGGGATGTCACCACGCAACATTGCTGTTTGGGGGCGGGTTTTACACCACCAGCCAGCTTACCAGTGGTTGGCAGAAGCCCCCAAAAGCAGGAGATCCCCCACCCACTCTTGGGGGATGAGGCACTGCCAGTCAGAGTTGACAATACTGACCTTGATGGACCAAGGGTCTCATTCAGTACAAGTCAGCTTCATGTGTTCATGTGATGCTTTGGAGGGTGGGCTCTCTGGCATTGTCCCCCAATGAGGTCCCCGTCCTCCCCAGGCGCCACCCCCAAACCTCCAGGAGTTTCCCAACCTGTATCTGGCAACCCTACCCCACCCATCCCCTCTTGGTGGCCAATGGCTGCTTTGGAGGGTGGACTCTCTGGCATTGTCCCCCAATGAGGTCCCTGTCCTCCCCAGGCTCCACCCAAAAACCTCCAGGAGTTTCCCAACCTGGATCTGGCAACCCTACCCCACCCATCCCCTCCTCGTGGCCAATGAATACTTTGGAGGGTGGACTCTCTGGCATTGTCCCCCACTGAGGTCCCCGTCCTCCCCAGGCTCCACCCCCAAATCTCCAGGAGTTTCCCAACCTGGATCTGGCAACCCTACCCCACCCATCCCCTCCTGGTGGCCAATGGCTGCTTCGGAGGGTGGACTCTCTGGCATTGTCCCCCACTGAGGTCCCTGTCCTCCCCAGGCTCCATCCTCAAATCTCCCGGAGTTTCCACCAGTGGTGGCGAACCTATGGCACGGGTGGGCATGCGTGCCATAGCCCCAGCCAGGCCCAGACCCTCTCTGTGGGCATGCGTGCCATAGCCCCAGCCAGGCCCAGACCCTCATTAAAGTGTCGAATTCTCTGCCAAATAATTTTAAGTAAATGAAAGCCTTTGGGATTGCTTTCCTTACTTTGTTTGGATCACCTTAAGTTAATGTATGAGTTGTGTTTTTTCTAAAGTAAAACCTCAGTATTCAAGTTAAATTGCCGTGTTGGCACTTTGCGATCAATAAGTGGGTTTGGGGTCGCAGTTTGGGCACTCGGTCTCTAAAAGGTTCGCCATCGCTGTCCTAGGCCCTTCTCAGTGTACCAGATTTTACCACAGAGCACTGACAACACGGCTGAGTGTCTCAGAATGTCTATCCCAGAATCCTGCGTAGGTCTTTTGTACATCTCCGTTTCTTTTCTTTCTTTCTTTTGTCAACTTCCGATCTTACAGGTTTGTGGGCGAGTTTGCGAACCTAGGCAGTGTCTCTGTTCTTCGGATGTTCCGGGTGCTGAGAGCTTTAAAAACAATTTCCATTATCCCAGGTATGAAAAACGAAGAACAATGTCTTGGTTTCACCTGCTTTTCCTGATCTCTACAGTCGCACTATGAAGATTCTAGCAGCCATAAGCAAATTCCCTTTGACACATCTCTCGTTACAATAATTTCTGACAGTTATAAGGATGTTAGTTGCTGTAGATTTGCCGGGATGTGTGGCCGTGGTCTTGGCATTGTAGGGCCTGATGTTTCACTAGTAGCTGTGACCAGCATCCTCAGAGGTATAACACAGAAAGACGGAGTACTCTCTGTGTCAAGGTGAGAAGAAAAATGGTAGGCAGGTAATTTTATCTACTCAGGAAGGTGGGGTAGGGCTGAGTCATAATCTTGTAGGAGTTCCCCAGGCTGTGAACATGCTGTCTTTCTTCTTATTATTATTATTTAAATTGATTGTTTCAAACATTTTTAAGCCACCTTGTCACTCAGTTTAGGATTACAGATGCCAGTCCCCTTCAGTAGCAGTGTGTGTGTGGGGGTCCCCTGCCACCAGGCCCTGACCCCCAGCCTCCGATCAGTTGGCTGGTGGGAGGACTTACCCTTAGAAAGAGGAAGGCCTAGGCAATGTTGCCAGCATCACAAAGGAAGTGATGTCATTATGACAGCGACTTCTAGGTGACACTCTGGTATTTGGGCAAAAACTCTATGGCAGGCGCTGTTTTTACCATAGAGTTTTTGCCCAAATATCAGAGCATCACCTGAAAGTTGCTGGCATGATGACGACACTTCCTGTGCGACATTGATGCCATGGCCCGGGCCTTTCTCTTTCTCCTGATAAGCTCTCCCCCCAAGTTCTCCGCCAGTTGCCAGGAGGGACCTGGCACCCTATTTAGGATCCCCAAGGCAATGAACTATAAGAAAACACTAGAACAAGCTTAGAAATGCATATTGATATGTGCAAAACAATTGGAGACAATAAATAAATCAAAAAGACACATAAACTGGAAGGAGTCCCAGTGAGAGACAGGGTTGCTTGCTAGCCTCCATGGGAATCTGGAGATTTCCCGGAATGGCAACTGACCTCCAGATGACAGCAATCTTTCCCCCTGGAGAAAATGGCTGCCTTTGGGGGGGGTGGACTTTACGGCATTGTGCCCCATTGAGGTCCATCCCCTCTCCAAACCCTGCCCTCTGCAGGCTCCACCCTCAAATCTCTAGGAATTGGCAGCCCTAGTGTTGTTGTTGTTCAGTCGCACAGTTGAGTCCAACTCTTTGCGACCCCATGGACCAGATCATGCCAGGCCCTCCTGTCTTCCGCCGTCCTCTGAAGTTGGCTCAACTTCATGTCCGTTGCATCTATGACACTGTCTAACCATCTCGTCCTTTGCCGTCCCCGTCTTCTTTGACCTTCAATCTTTCCCAGCATCAGGGTCTTCTCCAGTGAGTGCTCCCTTCTCATTGGGTGGCCAAAGTATTTGAGCTTCAGTTTCATTATCTGGCCTTCCAGGGAACAGTCAGGGTTGATTTCTTTTAGGATTGACCGATTTGATCTCCTTGCAGTCCAAGGGACTCTCAAGAGTCTTCTCCAGCACCATAGTTCAAAAGCATCTATTCTTCTGCGCTCGGCCTTCCTTATAGTCCAACTCTCGCAGCCATACATGACTACTGGGAATACCATTGCTTTGACCATGCGGACTTTTGTTGGCAGGGTGATGTCTCTACTTTTTATCAAGCTGTTTAGGTTCGCCCTAGTGAGGGACCATCAAAACAAAACAGAAAATTCTTCACCTGTTGCCGGAAGACAACGAGAAAAGAATCTCCTTGGGGAGGGAGATTTTGTTCTGTGGGTTCATTTTGCCCCTATATACCACTCCTGGAATTCTGAGCCTCCAACTGTAGGCCAGGAGACAGTAGCATTCCCAATCGACAAATCTTTCCTTCAGGGGAAGCGCAACCCCCTCCAGGACAGGCTGGTTCCACAGTTCCCGAGCAGCTTTCCCACTGACCAACAGCTCCTCAATCTTGTCTAGAAAAGTGGCAACCCTAGCACCCTTTTTTCAGAAGAAGAAGAGATTGGATTTATACCCCACCCTTCACTCGGAGTCTCAGAGCGGCTTACAAACTCCTTTCCCTTCCC